AGGAAACCTTGATGGTGCCATCTAGAAGCCATTTGCTTCTGTCCTCCAAGCTGGTGGCCACGGTCCTCTCTTGCACGGCTGTGGATTACAGGTCAAGTATGGGGGCAGCCCCAGGCCAGGGGTATTCGAGCTTGGGACTTGGTTTTTGGGTTGACATCCCAGATCCCCTGGAGGGAGAAGTGAATGAAGTGAGCTCAGGAGGCAAGAAGGGGAGGAAAGGCTCCTTTGTACTCATCCGAGGCTCTTAGAAACAGCTGAAAACCACAGATGACAAGTTTACCAGCTCACGACAGGTTGTGTTGTTTTGCGTTTTTGTGTTTCCCTTATTTCCTTATTATTTGCTGGGCACAAGCTTGCCTTGACTTTACAGTCTGCAAAGGTTCAACCAAGAAAGTAAAAGGCACAATTGTATCAGCATCGTGATGGATCCTGGTACCTCGCTGGAGCCTGAAATTAGGGGTTTGAGTACGTGTCTGTTTCCCTTCAACCTTCCAATGTTAACAAAGGAGGGATAATACAGGGGTTTCCTTCCCTGCCGGGACACAACCCCCTGAAATGCCATTAGGATGAAAACACTGGTGTTTGTCGAAAGAGTGTAAAGCAGTGTTTTTCAAAGTGTAATTTTTGGAATTCTAGCTCCAAGAAATGTTCTGCTGGTAAAAGGATTCTGGTTGGCACTTATTAGTGAGGTACAGAAGCTGTGTTACTGGTAAATCTCCCCCACAAAGGTCTGCTTGTCCTGTGTTGCCTTCCTGGAGTCTGTTCACACTTGGCTCTTACTTTGGTTCCACATGCTCTGAAATCCCAGGAAGTGGCTCTCAGCAGTAGGCCGTTCTTCCTCAAGCATTTGGGAGCCTTTCCCATGTGCCAACGCTTCGCCAGAGGAATGGCTGACCACCCAGGATGTGGCTCTAGGCAGGGGGCACACTTAGCCAGGTGGGGCAGTGGAAGTCCTCTGTAGGATGACCAGAGCCTTTCTCATCACAACTGAGACAACCAACGGAGTGAAGAGGCACTATTAGTTATTGAGAATTACACCAGGACCACAGGTATAACCTAGGACTGTCCCACATGTCGCAGAGCTGACACATGACTGAAGAGTTATGCTGTTTTGTCTGTCATTTCAAGAGGTCAGGCTAGTAGTTACAGGGGAATGGTTTCAGTTCAAAATGAAAAGGGGCTTTCTAACAGACAGCCTCCAACAACAGCATGAGCTGTTTTATTAGGTAGTGAGCACCTTGTCATTGCAGATATGCAAGAGCGTAATTAACAACTCATGCTCCAAGATGTTGTATATGGGAGACATTGACGTGCCAGGAAGTCACTGGGGCTAGATGACCCCTACTACTCTGAGGTGCCTGCTCTTCTTTGCCCTCTTTATTGGTAAGGGTTAGTAGCTTATCTCATATGGAAGGACCAAATCCTGCCTGTCTGATTTTACGCATACATACGCACTCGGATAAAAGTAGAAATACAGCAGGACTGAAAGATGAAAAGCTTGCTGTTTTTAGCATAATTAATATTCACTGGTGCCTATGCATAATGTAAATATCTCTTTGTTTAAAATGAGATTGGATTTCACAGTATGGCCTTGACTTTTTTTAAAAAAGATTTTGTTTATGTATTAGAAAGAGAGAGAGCACAAGCAGGGGGATCGGCAGGCAGAGGGAGAGGGAGAAGCAGGCTCCCCGCTGAACAGAGAGCCTGATGTGGGGCTTGATCCCAGGGCCCTGGGATCATGACCTGAGCTGAAGGCAGCCGCATAACCGACTGAGCCACCCAGGCACCCCAGCCTTGACTTTATAAAGAGAACATTTGGGGTGCCTGGGTGGCTCAGTCAGTTAAGCGTTCGACTCTTGATTTAGGCTCAGGTCACTATCAGGGTCCTGGGGTGGAGCCCCGCGTTGGGTTCAATGCTCAGCGCGGAGTTGGCTTGAGGATTCTCTCCCTCTGCCCCTCCCCCCACTCGAGTGTGCTCTCTCTTTCTCTCTCAAATAAATAAATTAATTAAAAAATAAATGTCTATAAAAAATAAATAAAGAGAACATTTTGTGACAGGTAAGCAAAATATGATCTCTACAATTTGACCCAGTCTGAAGTGGATCAGAATTTGCTCTGAAGAAGCAGCCTTGGTCAGCTGGGTCAAGTCTGGTCAATAATAACTGCACTTTGGTTATGCAAGATGTTGACATTAAAGGAAGAGGAAGATACAAGGGAATTCCTTGTACTAGTCTTGTAATTTATCTGTAAGTCTAAAGCTTGTTTTTACAAAATCCATATCCCTGCTCTTAAGGCCTGTTCATACCAGGCACTGCCTGAAGAACTCCCCTCATCCTTGACGACTCAGCTCAAGCAGAACATCCTAGATTTCTGCTCCCGTCCCAGGAGTCTTCAGAGACTTCTGTATACCCCCCAATGATACCACCTGTTAGTATAATTTCCTGACTATACGGTACCTCTCCCACCTGACTCTGAGCTTCTTTTGGACTGGAACATTTCTTCGTTTCATCTGTAGCACTCAGTATATGTCTTTTAAATGAATTAATGAATCAATCCAATTTGAACAAATTTTATTAGTTTTGCTTTGTTTAAATTGTGGTAAAATATGCATTACATAAAAATGACCCTTTTTAGGTGTACAATTCAGTGGCATTAAGTACAATGTTGTATAAATGATTTAAACTGGTCAGAATTTACTAGGGCTGTTAGATCCCCTTAATCCGGACCCATGGGACCTGTGACACTGGGAATTAATTTAATCCCACTCACACCAGGTGCCTCCAATCAAACTCTGTTTGATCCAGTGTGGAATTTTTTCCTCCCATTTGAACCAGCATGGATCAGTCAGAACTGGCTCTGCCCAGGCTCCTGGCCAGTAGCGGGCACTCAGAATTCTTTGGCCTGATCTCTTGGGTTGCCACTTTCTCTTTGTTAATTTTTTTCCTGGGGTTCCCTGCCCCGTTGCTCTCCTTTCTGGTCCCACACACCACACCCATCCCTGCCCAGCCTGGCTGTGGGCAGGGAGCTTGCCTTCTGCAGCCACCTCCATCTGCCTGCTGTGCACCTGCGCTTTCAAAACAGCTCCTGCAAACAGGCTTTAGAGGCGGGATCAACAGGCTGACTCATTCTAAGGGAGACTGCCTATAGCTGGACAGCCTCTTCAAATGTTTAAGGTCATCCCCACCCCCTCCTGGGGAGGAGGCACATTTTCACTACTTCCTACCTCATCAGCTGCAATCATCTCGGTTTGAGCGTAAGGAATAGAGCACTGTGTTAGGAACCAAGACACGGGGCTCCAGCACTTTTTCTGCCTTTAACTAGCTTTACTCATGCCCTCCTTGGGACAATACTGGAAGGGCTTGGATATACAGACCAAAGTTTGATGATGATGACGATGGTGGTGGCGGTGGTGGTTTGCAGCAGGCTTTTTCCTTCCCACACTGGTAACTTGAATAAGGCAAGAAACAATGCTGAATCCCCCTGGAGTGTGTTTCATGTCTACCTCATGCCCCTTGATGGTAACTTGAGGGCCCTGGTCCTTCTCTGTTGCCTTCGGGAGCGCAGTGAGTCTTACCTTGGATGTGAGTGTGCGAGTGAGGGTGGTGACCTCTGTGGCCTTTAGAGGAGGGCTCCTCCTTCCCTATCCTTAGAGCCGTGTGCTCTTCCCTGCTCTGGTTTACAGCGACATTTTCCTTGCTGGCTCCTTGCTTCAGCCTCAGCCCCATCCTGTTGCGGCCAGAATGATTGTTCCAAACACAAGGATGCACCTGTCCCTCTTGGACCTCAGTCCTTCAGTGGCTCCCACAAACCTCAGGGAAAAATGAACCCGTAATTCAAGGCCTTCCACCCTCCGGCCCTCCTTTATCTCCTGGTCTCAGCCCTTCTTCCTCTCCCCCAGCGGTCCTGGCCGATCCCGACCACGCTTCCTTCCACTCTCGCCACCCTCCTGTCTAGACTGTCCTTCTCTTTACGGGACGATGTCTCTTGTCCCGGTACCCTGGGCTTAGTCCCGCTCGGGTTTGCAAGGGGCCCCTCCCAGGTCGCAGGGGGTGGATAGGGGGCCGGTCCTTCCCGAGGCGGCCGCCAGGGGGCGACAGGAGCGGTTCCAGATGACAGCGGGAGGCCGCGAGTGGGGGAGGGAGGAGGGACCGAAGGAGCGCGGATCCCGGTTCTCCGATCGCAAACTCCGAGCCACAGCTTTCCGCGCGCACCCGAGCCTCTGGCCGCCCGCTCAGCCCGACGCCGAACCGGGGCGCAGCGGGAGCCCGTGCAGGGCGGGCGCGGGGCGGCGGCGGCGGCGGCGGCGGCCGTCCATGAGGCGTGCTCGGGGCTGCCCGGCGCCGGGAAGCACGCGGGGGCGAGGCGAGGCGGCCGCCGGCCGATCCGGGACGCGGACCGCCAGGTGAGCAGAGCTGCCCGCGCCGCGCGCCCCGCGCCCCCTGCGCCCCGACCCGGCCGGGGCCGCTGCCCTCCTCTCGGGCCCGCTCTGGACCGCAGGACGCGATGGCGCGGGCGGCGGGGCGCAGTGGGTGTGTCCGGGGCGCCGCGGGGCTGAGCCCACACCGGGCTTGGGGAGCCAGCGCGCGCTAGGTCCGTGCCGACGGCTGTGCCGCCTCTGCTTCCCTTAGCTTTCCTTCCACTTCGCTTCCCTTCCCTTCCTTCCCTTCCTTGGGGATTTGCTCTGTCCCGGCGCCAGCACTCACCCCTCCACCCTCCAATTCTGAAACTCTAGGGACAGCCAACCTGGGCCGTTCCGTAGTCGGGGCCCCGCGCTCCCTGGGCTGGGGCCGAGGGCGGCCGGCGAGTGCACACCCAGCCCGTGCGCCCCAACCGCAGCCTCGCCTCCCTTCTGCCCCGGGCCGGAGAGCTGGTCGGTCTCGGTCCGCGCGCATCGAGCCCCAGCCCGGGGCCTCGGCCACGATGTTTTCTAGAAAGCCTCAAATCCTTGTGCGTGTCTGAGCTAAACCGCTGCAGCCCAGCGCCTCTGGGAGCCGGAGTGGATGGGTTGTTTCCGCCAACTCCGGAGACTTCCTCAAGTGCAGCCCAAGTACCTGCAGTCCCTTGGCGCGCTTATAGAATTGGCTGTTCCAGAAGTAGCTCGTAGGGCTTTAGAGATCTGCAAGTTAGTATATATTTTTTTCCTTTGAAATAACATCAGCCCTAACTTGGGAAGTGGATTTCAGGGCGTTCTCAGGCCCACTTAGCATCTGGAAATTGTGGGTCTGGTGTTTCCTAAGCAGTCTACACCCAGCCCTGGCTCCCCCCCACCCCCCGCCTCCCCTACTGCCTATTAAATGTGCATGCTTGCGTCTCTTCAAGTCTCCTTTGTGACCCCCCACCCCCACGCCGCACAGTAAGTGAATCTGAAGCCTCGGACCTGGGTAGCTGAAATGATTGGGGGATGCCTGTTGGAACTGGGAATACGAGACATGGAGGGAGACCGGAGAGAGGTCCAAGAAATCATCTTGTCCAACTGTCTGCACGGCCGAAGGCACCCAGGCACAGAGTAATATTCTAAAGATTTTTCAAAGCTCACACAGCTCTTAAAACCTGCACAACCTGCATGTCTTTACTTCATTGATTAAGGGGTGATGAAGGGCTTAATAGGATCTTACTGGGTCTCCATATACAAAGAAGCAAACATTTTAAATACACGATTTAAATACGGTACTACTCAATTACTGTAGATTTTTGTTGGCACCATAGTTGAATTCCTTGGAAAACAAAATCCTAGCCCTGGAATTAATACGAGGAAGCAGATGGGAGTCCTGGGACTTTCCTATAATCCTCTGCAGGGCTGGAGCAGGGATTTCCCAGAGGTCCCGGCCTGGGAAATGAGTTTGGGTGATCAGAATCCTGGAGTCCCTACGGAATGAGCCACCTGGCTGGCCTCTCGTGAAGAGGGCTGGTCAGATGAGCTCACGTGACCGCCGCCACGCGCAGCCCCGAGCACCCGGGTAGTTCTTTATCTCCATGTCAATATCTCCTGCCCAGAAGAAATCTTTCTAACTGGCTGCTAGGAAAAAAATGAGTAAAATTAAATACAGTCCAGAGTTTGAGTGTAAGATCAGGGTTGGATGTTTTGACTGAGTTTTTTGGGGGGGTTTGTTTGTTTGTTTTGTTTTGTTGCCTAGAAATGCTTATTGTGATTGCATCCAGTTATCCTAGAGTGGTGGGGCATTACCCTCCCCCTCTTCTCCGCCCAGCATTTCTCTGCACAGCACTTGCCTCCCAATTGGCTGGAGTCTCAGTGTTTGAATGCCCTCGATGCCCCCATCCCGTCCCCCACATTTAGAGCCCGCTCATTACTGAGTTCCTTCCACATTCTTTTGTGATATCGCAGGGGATCATTTTCCTGTCTCCTTTCCCTCTACCCCCTCCATAAACCATGTCCAGGTTATAGTAATAATCTCCCCTCTTGACTCCCAGCTACGAATCACTTTCTTCATTTTAATGCATCTTCTTTCATGCTGACAGATTAATATTCCTAAAATTCTGATTTCGTCACATCATTCCGCTCAAGGAATCACAATGGCTCCCCGGGATTCACTTCTATTTAATTCTTCTCCAACTGATATTTTTGGGCATCTGCTGTGTTCTAGGGACTGCTACCATGTGCTGAGGCTTAAACTCAGAACAAGACAATATCCGTGCCCTGGATCTGTTGACAGGCTAACATGATAAATAGCCACCCGGGAGAGAAAAAGATGTTAAAAAAAAAAAAAAAAGTAACCACGAAACAATGCAGAACCTTGGGGACGCAGATGAGGGAGAGGATTTTTCTGCATGGGAGGAGCTAGGAAAATTACAGCTGGGCTTTGAGGCGTGAGGAGGAGTTCAAAGAGATGGGAAAGGCTGGAGGTAGAGAGGGCATGCCAGGCGGAGGGATGAGATTGAGCAACGACCTAGCGACGTGAACATGCTGGTATGGACATGGTAGACAAGGCCAAGGTCAGTCTTCGTCTGGGCAGTTGGAATTGTCTTAATTCAAGTCTGCTGATCCAAGAGCAGCCCACCTCTTTCCTGCCTGATGTACGCAGTGTGTTTATGATGGTCTTGTGTGCACTCTAACCGCAGCTCAGAAATTCAGTTCTGCCAGGAAGTGTACCCCAGCCTCTCTTGCACACCCCGGTCTCGGTCCTCCCTGAACCCAGCTGAAGTGCGCCCCTGCCTCCTTTGCATTTACTGTGTATGCAGCCTGACATGTCCTAGTGGGCCAGCCTCATCTCCCAGGCATCCTGAAATTTCTCCTGACTGGCCCCTGGGCTTCTCCTTCCTGAGCCCTTCCAGGCTGTGTAGCCCGGTGCCAGCCCCCGGCCAGCTCCCGCCGGCTTGACAACACGACTGGGTCGGACCTTGCTTCCTTTCATCTTCTTCTCTCCCCTTTCCCCAACTGTTTAACTCTCTTTTTCTGTGCATGGAGAATTGTGATAGGTATTTACATCTGCGTGGATGTAAGGGTTCCATACGTATTATTGACTCTTCTCTGTGAAAATAGTGGATGAGCCGTGTTAGGCCAGGAGCTATAGCGTGACAGGGGCGGGCGCCGGGAAGGGGGAGCTGCGGTGGGATGCTCTCTGGCCGGAGGAGGCTTTGTGGATTCTTGCCCTCTTTCGGGCCCCCCCCTTTCCTCCTGCTCTGTGGGCCCCGTGGGCTGACACTGGGACTTTCTGGGCCTGTGTTGCCCTTTTTTCTCTCCCCAGCCCTTCAGAACTGACTTCTCCAGTTTCTGGAGCCTCGCTGGCCCGATGAACTCATTCAGGTCCCGTTTAGTGAGCACTGGGGTGTGTTATGCCTGATGCCTTAATCCTCCCAGCAACCTGTGAGGGAGACGGTATAATCCGCATTTTACAAGGAAGAAAACTCCAGCTTACTTGCCTTGGGTCAACAACTCAGGTTTTGAACCTAAATCTTAGAACCCAGCTCTATAAGTCAGGTGCTCTTTACACTATTTTACTGTTTCCTGAAAGGGTTGTCTGTGGAACGTCTGAATCCGAATTAGGGTCTGCTGGGAAGACACTCAGATTCCAGGGTGGAGGCTGGGCCTGGGAATTGGCATTTTTTTAAGACTGCCTCAAGTGCTTGGTTGTTCTACACGCTGGGTTTGAGGACCACTGCCCTAGGCTGCCTTAACCGTGAGGTTCTAGTGACAGGTGATGAGCTAATAAGCCACTTTATCCCAGGTCACAGTGTCCTTTTTTAACAGAGGCCTTGACCTTGACTGTAAGGAGTGAGCAATGGCGCATCGTGGCCCCAGCCAGGCCGAGACAGAGAGCCCTGTTTTAGTCAAAGGGATCTTCAGTTCAGTCCTGAACTGCATGCTCCCCATCCTCTCCCTGCAAAGGTACGCAAGCCCTGCCCCCACCAGGCTCCTTGTGAATTTATTTCTGGGCCTGAGCAAGGCTGAGGGAGAAGGATCAGGTAGGTTGGTTCCAGAGCCCCAAGTTTTCTGAGGTAAAAAATGGGCTGGGACCCCCCAAATAGGGCTGAACACGCTGTGCCAGCCCCCCCCTTCCCTGCTGGCCTGGTGAGTCGCCCCTCCCTCCCCAGAGCAAAGTCTGCTCACCAACACATCTCCTCTGTTTTACAAGCCCTTATTTTGCCCCCTTTCTAAGTTTCAGCCGTGTGTGACAGAAGGATGGCCAAAACCTGGGGGGCTGGTGTGGGGACGGGTGGACAGGCCCCCCAGGCATTAGGGAGAGGCCCAGCATGGAGTGGGTGCTCAATGCCTGTAGTCATTCGGTTTCTCTTACCTTCTCTGTACCCAGTCAGGGTTTGGCAGGCAGTTGGCCCTCAATACATGTGCTATATATATATATATATATATACACACACACACACATACACATAATCTCAGGCCCCCTCAAGTCCAGGGGGTTTGTGTCAGAAGGGCAAAATATTGCAAACTTATATTCCAACTCAGCAAATCAACACCTGCAGCTGTGCAATAATAATAATGATGATGATGATGATGAATTATCCATTCAACATCCCCTCCCCACCCTACCCCCTTCCCCTTCCTTGAGATTTCTCAAGGAAGAACCTCAGACACAGAGGGGCAGCTGTGTTCTCTGTTGATGGCTAGCTATCCTGGAAGAGTGGCTTCTTTCTGCTCATCTCTTTCTCTTTTTACCTCATCTTTCCAGTGCGCATATCACTGTCCCCTCCGGTGAGCCCTGCAGAAGCAGGTCCCTTCAGTGATACCCCACGGTGTTCTCCCTCGGCCCTCTCCTCTTGGGCGTGGTCCAGAGGACAGAGAGCCAGGCCGTTGACGCAGAAAGGTGACCCTGGGCAGCTCGGGGCCTGGGCTGGGCAGCAGGCGGGCCTGCCCCACCCTCCCTGCCTGCTGGCTGGCTGCCTGAGGGCTGGCCAGCAGTGAGGACCCAAGTAATGAGTGATTAATGGGCGCCCCATCTAATCTCCTGCCAGGGGAAATGAAGGGCCAGCCGTGGGCTGGGGCTTGTCATGACCTGCTCCAGGTGGGCTTGGAATGCACCCAGCTCAGGATGGGGATTAAGGCTTGAAAGACAGAGGAAATGAGATGTTAACCCTTTAGGCCGTGGCCGTCTGAGCCCCGGCAGGGAAATCGCCAGGGAATTATGTACAGGCATCTGATGAAAGGGGGAGCATGGCCTTTGATTTATGGCCGGGATGCAGCCACATCACCACGGGGGGAGGGGTGCGGGGTGACAAGCCACGCCTTTGACTTAACCATTTTTCTTGGAGGCTCAGTCAAGAGAGATTAATTTCTTAGGAACATGGATACATGGACAGCCGGGAGGCTGCTCTACCTGATTCCTTCTTGGAAACCTTCCGATCCTATCAGCAAGTTACAAATTGGTAGTTGCCAAACAGACTTCTCCTCCTGAAACGCAGTGCCTCTGACCACGTGTCATTTCAAGGCAGAGAGGAGGGCGTGTGGCCATGGCTGGCCAGCATCTCTAGTAGTAGGGTCCACCTTCTCCTGGGCCGGGCAGCAGGCGCAGGGATGCTGAGGGTTGGGAGCCCCTCGGAGCCAGCTCCCTGGGCTCCGGCCTGGCCTCCACTAAGCTGCGGCTTCCTGGACAGTTTCCTTTTCTGCTGTGGTTTTCCGGTCTGTGGAATGAGGGTGATAATAGTACA